CTATTACTACCAGCCCGTCGCGGGATGACTTTAAAACAATGCTTAAAAAACTGAATAAAAATTTACTTGGATATTATCCATCGTCTAGTAATAAAACGTAAAAAAACGTAAAACGACGTTTCGGAGATGGGGCTCTATCTCCGTCTTCAGGTTCCTACTCAGTTGGGCCCATTAGATAGAGCTAATCCCTATCTCCGGTCCGGATAATATCCAAGTAAATTTTTATTTAATTGACTCTTCACCATCGTCAAGAAGTTTTAGATTTGAAATGCTTAAAAAACTGTTTTAGTCATTCAGGAAGTCTGAGATAACCGCTGACAGGACTTCAGAAATACAGTCGTCAACTGCCCATGAGAGTTAACGACCATCACGCACAGTGATTTTCGATTGGCGAGTGAGTTTTACTAGTAAATTAAAGTCGGATTTCTTGAGCTATAATTGTAATAATAGTTTATAGGCTACTGGTAAATTGGATGTCCGTGTTCGTTTCCAACGTCGCCACTGACGATAAAATCAAGAAAGCAATAATACACGTCAGTATAACAAGAACAAATTACCTGAAGATGGGAGAAGATACAAGATCCGAAACATCGTGTAAGCCTCTATGGAGTACACCACATATAATAGACGTTGTACAGAATAATATTCGCATAACGAAGCAACTACTGTCTGCCTCAGAGTAATCTGTACTTTTACAAGCTTCAGTCCATCCATTGTGTGTTAAATACAATTGTATTAACTGCTTTACGACTAGTGATTGTTGAGACTTACTACCATTTCATGAATTTTCACGATCACATGCACGAGTTAAATCGCAGCTGATGCGAAACGAATTAAACTTGTAGATGAATGTTGAATTATCTTGTTAACAACGGAAACTTTTCATACATCATTGTCGTATTAAGATCCTATCAATGTTGTATCAAGATTCTATCAGTGTTCTATTAAGAACCTGTCTTGATACTTTAATGCAGTCCCTCGGGCGACTGATGCCGCCTTCTCAGCAACGAGACCCGAGTTCAGTCCTAGGGCAGTCTACCAAGGAACTGTGGTGGACAGAGACACTGAGGCAGGATTTTCTCCGAATGCTTCGGTTCTACATTGCCAATCGCCATTACACAAATGTTCCATTCTCATGTAACACCATCCCAGAAGTATGCAATGTCAGTCAGGATCCTAATTTGATCTGCTCATAATTACTAATGCAATTTTTTTCCCCTAATATTTTAGATTCTGACTGCGGCGAGGGCTGTCTTCTGGGTTGTCGTTCCGTGCAGTCTCTTAAAAAAAATGGACGTTTCAGAGGTACTTACTGCCTCCATAACCAGGCAGCGAACACCTCTGACGACGCCTTCCTCGAAGATGAATCTGCACGGAACGGAAATACACCAGTCGCTCGTACAAATGAAGGACGATTATTCCGTGTGTCGGTTTCTCGCATTCTATTCCGGGTACTGCTGTTTTACCAATGCAGCTGCGTGCCGCAGAGGAATAATAGCGGAATCGTGACAGAAAGACACGACAACAGAACATCCGATACATGATTCAAGTGAGAACCAACTACTGCATAACTGACTATCATCAGGAACAGCGGCCTAAGTCACACAGAATTCCGCCAAGTTCTGAAAAAACAGAAGGCAAAGAAAGTATAGCAGATTATTCGTACACCGGCTACGAAAATAAATTTACAGTAAACGTAATTTATTATATGTATACTTTGTCATCGCAAAACGATTACATGAAATGTGCGGCACATTTTAGTTTTTCACTGTCGGAATGTGAGCCTTCATTTCGTCAAGAATTTGGTGCACGACACAACTCAAGCCCTGAAAAAGAACAAAAGATAATTTAACTTGTCTGCCCGTCGCATATGAGCATTCAGACCTCCGCGGGCACTAACTGAACTCAGGACAACCGTACGGTTTGCTAATTACGCTGACTCACTGCGAACCCGATTACGACAAGAGACTACAAACATTTTCTACGCAGAAGCGTAATCAATTTCACGTCACATACGATCCCCTTAAGGCCCAGTTTTACAACATAATTTCGTCCAAGTCTTTGGTTAGGGTCACATCACATAGCCAGCGACCGAGTCCCAATATTAATGAGAAATCCAACTGGTAGATAACGATCGACGCTTCAGAAGTTCTTACTGCTTCCATCATCAGGGCGATCATGGTCCTATTCTCTGGGCATTCTCTCGTGTATACAAGAGTCACATAGAAGATATATAGCGGTACGTCCACGAACACTGCACAATGTAGAGTACGAAACAATGAGTTCTAATCCTGTACGCACATGCGAAGCGGAAGGCATTTCAAACTGCCTATTTCTACAGTTCTATAAAAATAACTTTCTGGGAAATTCAGCTACATCCTACATACAGACAACACTCGTTCGCATGCCTTGTTTTTACTGTTATTTCCTATTTTCACAGTAACATTGCCAAGTCGACTGAAAATACGTTATAGAACTCTGCTTCGTAAAATCGACTATCCTCATCGAAGTACTTCATGGCTTTTCTCAGTCCCTCCGGGCAAATACCGATACAATACCTCAAATTGGACTACAACCGATTCCTTCTACATCCCTTCCAATTCTCTCCACCAAATCTACCGATTCTATGTAGACCTACTGTGAGCAAAGAACAGCGTCGTTGAACAACCCACGAACAGAATGTCATATTAACAATGACATGTTCACAGGAACTTTAAGGCTTAAGGACGGGCGGTATAAACTCAAACTGATGCTAACCGTGCCTGTTTAATGGGATCACATTTGGTGATTTGAAAGACTAGAAGCAAAGTTATATTTATATCTGCTCCGGTGGATTTTTAGTTCGTAGACTGGGTAGTTTAAAAGCGATGTTTCAGCTGCACATGTTGCTTACTACCGAATGAGATTACAGTCCATTTTTTGTCAACATCTAGCGGTGGTTACGCTGAAAAAACAGCACCTTCATGTTTTCATTCCTTTTTCATTACACTGGCGAGATCCTAATTGCCTGCTTTGATAATCATGAAGTGTTGCATGTTATTAGACGGTATTTTTACAAGGATTGCACATCCGTATTTTGTCAATGTGTAGTCTTGAAAAGCCTTGTATCTCACTTCAAATTTTTAGGTTCATATTGATAAAATACTTACTGACTTTGCAACCACCGTAATAAGGGGGAGGGGACACACAGTAAAGAATAACTGCGAAGCATTTACATCAATACAAGCGATATTAACTTTGCGACTATAAAAACGAGAAGCCTTAGTCATAGAAAGGCTAGAATATAAACTTACCAAGCAGAAGTATTTAAAGGAAAGAAACGTTTTTCATGTAAGATTTGAGGTTTTCACAGC